CCCCCCCCCCCTCCCCCAAAGCTGCCTGCCTTACTGATATACATGAGGTTGACTCTAGACATGGTCAAACATCTGCCATGTCATGTCTAAGGATATCCTTAGGCAACCAAATTATACCAGACACATTATACAAGGCGGATTCATGCTGTCATTGGGATTTTAGGAGCCTTTTATGAGACTGGTAACCAACGTCCTAAAATTCTGTGTTGTGTGCCGCCAAAGTTGTTTTGAACATTTTCACTGTCTGTGGTAAAACACGTTCTTATATTTGGCCTCCTGCCTCTCAAATTGTTTAGTAGAACTTGCCCATCCCTGCTATAATTGTTTGTACTGTACATCATTAAGTCCACCCAAATCTGTTATTTCAGATGCCAGTGGTTTGCTGCAACTGGGTTCCCAGGTTGTGCCTCAGCTGTACAGGTATGCAGTGCAGCAGAAAGAGGGGTACTACATGGCAAGGAGTGTACTATGTAGATGTATAATCTTACTTCTGGATTCCTTGAGAGAACAAAGCTAGGTAGTGATTCCATCCCAAGTCAAAAGAACCATCTTTGGTGAATACAGGAGTGTTAAGGCATCTGGGAAAGTTTGATGGTATTCACAATGTAGAAGTGTCGGCACTAGTAGAGCTTTTTGGAACCTGCTGGCTCCTAGGATGAGATCTGTATATTACACTAAGGTATGAGTAATATATTGGCTGTATAGGGCATTGCAATATTCTGCTGAGTTGTGTATTGTGCTAGAATATTGCTCCTTTGATATGGCTGACCTCATCGAGGTGAGTATTTGAGTACACACTGGCTGATCTGCTGAGTTGTGCATTACACTTCAATATTCCACATTTGTTGATCTAGCTGACCACATCAACTTGAGTGAACACAGGTTGATTGCAAAATTACAATTGCATAATTTATGTTAAATAATTTGTTGGGCTGAGCCCCTGTGTGGATTGTCGCTGTCGCCAAAACACAATGGAGATGCTTCCAAGAATGTGATTGGACTTTGCCCTGTTTTCATCTCCTGCTGTTCCCTCCTGTTCCTCTTTTTGCCCTCGTGGTTTCATTTTTATGTAAGTATATTGGAAGCCGGTTCACACTAGATTTCCAGCATTGCTATAGTCGCAAGAAAAGCATCAATATACCCAAGCCTTAAGGATGGACTAATGACACCCAAGTTGTGGCCTTCTGGGAGGGGCATGAACACACACTTGACCTTCAGAGTATTCTCCAGGACAAGTACTTCTAGAACTGCCTGAACAAGGATGGCCAGGGCATTATTTAAATAAAAGATGTAAAAAGTTTTGACATTGACTTTAAAAAATGATATTACAGTGGTAAAGCTTGAGACTTTAGCTATTGGGATTACATCTTCTTCAAGCCCTATTCCGGCTTTTACTTTCCTTTCCGATGTTTTGATTGCTAGCCGTGTGACACATTACGACGCCACTCATTTGCTAACCGGTCCATGTTTTTACTTTTTTTGCTGCTACAGATTTCTTTCTCCGCATGTGGCATTTTGGAGGTATCGTCTCTGAGTCACAGAGATACAATGATTCATTGCAGGATGAGACTTTGTCCTCGCTAACCGCACACAACTATTTTCCTCCCAGCTAACTTTCTGCAAACTTAACTCCTCGTTTTGGTCGAGCGTCTGATCTTCCTTCTAGGTTTAAACTGCCTCCCCGCAGACTCATTTGGAAGGTGTGGTCTGTGAGATAATTTCTTAACACGCTCGCCTGCTGCCGCTGCGGTGAGAATTGAGCCTGCTCTGTTTCTCTCTCTGTTGTGCTGGAATGCAGCAGTGACGCAATGTTTTTAGCATTGATGCTTTTGCTTTACCGCCCAATTACTTGAATATAAACTTTTTTTTTAAATTTCTTGCATCCCTGCGTCAGCTGCTTAAGTTCTATTAGTATGGTCGTGGAACGTGACCTTTTTATCATTCCGATACTGTAAGCTATTATGGGCGGGAGAGTGTTTTGGTGTATTTCCTTGTGTGCTTATGCTTCTTGTGTGGCCGCCCTCCTCCTTCTTAATGTATCCTAGCCGTGCAGGTGTGAGCGCCCATAGTGCACTTGGGCTTTTCTCTGCTTTATTTCCCGTCAATGGTTTCCAGAAGTCAAAAAAGTTCAAGTCCGGCCAAAATGAATTGGGGTTATTGTATATTTTTTTGATCCATGCTTTATAAAACAACCCCAGCAGTTTCCTGTAATACAGACCGGTCACTGCTGATCTCTCCCCTTCTGCAGGGTGACTGGTCTTGTCTCCACCCCCTCCTGTAATAAAGGCCGTTCACTGCTGCCCTCTCTCCTTGTGCAGGGTGACTGGTCAGGTCTCCACCCACTTTATAGTTTTCTACAGGCAGCCTGTATTGGGTTGGGCCTCATGGACTCTTCCCACAGCTCTGCTGTCTGCACAGGCTATGTACAGCATAGTAGTGATGTCA